CACACACACACACACACACACACACACACACACACACACACACACACACAAACAGATGGACAGTACTGAACAGCATTTCTTTTTTTTGATGCCTTTGTCTCTGTTTTATAATAAACCAAGGTCCTCAGTAAGTATTACAGGCTGACTGCTTTTGCTGTGTTTCCTAGGAGGCATAGCACCGTCTTGAATCCTACTGTGTTTTGAAATGGAATCGGTGTCCCAGACATCAGCTTTGTGCTGTTCTTCATTCTCCTTATAGGCTACATGCTGACTTTTCCTCAGCACAGCATACGAGGGCTTACAGTAATAAGGGCAATCAAGTTGTTTATAAAAAAACAACAGGGATTAAAAGCTTTCTTTAGTTCGTCATCGCATTCAATCTCAAGTAAATACAGCCAGCATTGCCTGGGGCTCTGCTCTAAAAGATATGCAGTGGCTTCAATAAAGAAAAAGACTTGTTTAGCCTTGTTTTATGACACAGGAGGAGCATTGGAGAGGGAACAAGGTTATCTACATGTGACTTAAATCATTTCTTACCATCAAATTTTCATGAAGCAGTCACCTTTTCCTAGCCCATAAATGACAATGATGCAATGAATGGCTGCACAATATGGAATATGTCACCCGGCGTCGCATTTATTCCTCCGTAAACGCTTCTCGCAAGAGGTAAATAAATTGAAAAGCCACTGAAGCAGCAGTGAGTGCTGAGTTCTGCACAGCACAGCTTGTTTTATTGTGTTCTGCATGGAAATAGCTGTTGAAAAATAATCAACATTGCCTTTGTTATTTTGGAAATCATGGCCATCATCTGCGACCCCGGGAAGAAAATACACTATATTACAATGTCAATTTGTTTGAAAGTGTTCTATGGGAATCTTATCCTCTGACCAAGTATCACAGATTGGGGGAGTATCTGTGTTTATATATGCCCTGGTTTTTAAAGGCTCTAACACACTATTAAAAAACATTACAATGACATTAGAGAGAAGACATGTGATCCACAGCTGAGCATGATGTATGGATTGAGCTGCTGACTGTCTTTCCAAACATCATTAGGCAAACTGTTTACATCTTCACACAGTATCCAGCTGCAACATTCAACTTCCAATCAATACACTTGTTTGCCCACGTTAGTCAGAGGAATATTTGTGTAATCAATAGAATGTCAAACTTTCAGAGCGTGAGTGCAGCAGAACCTGTTTGTTGATTATGTTCACATGATATTCTGAAAAATGGATGTTGAAGTTTGTGCTGACCGCTCACGATGCGAAACTAAGATTGCAGACAGATCTTCTAATTCTACATCTATCAGTGATCTGATCCGTTATCATCTAACCGCAAAGCTTTTCTGGAATAAACTGAATAAATGAACTGAATTCTGCAGTGTTTTCACAAACTCCTGTTGTGACAGCTGAGGGGCATTTAGGGGCATTGTGAGCGAGACCCTGGCTGCTCCTGTACAGTCCAGTCACATTTGGACAAAGGTGCCTGCAGGATGTTTACAAGAGACATTTCCCGATCTTACACCAAACTTAAAATATAGGTGTCCATGGATCAGTGTGGTTAAGTGTGTGTGTGTGTGTGTGTGTGTGTGTGTACTGCTGGTAAAGTGTGTGTTCATCACCAACCTCATGAGCCTGTTGTATTGAACATACAAGATTTTAAATTTATAGTTTCTCAAACACACACACACACACACTCACTCACACACACATTATATCATATATAAAGATCTCTGGTAAGGCTATGGTTTCTATATTCACCTGGATATAGTCAAACTGACCACAGTTTTTGATGAGATGACATTTTCTCCAACTTTACCTCAAACCCTGGAGGTCTGAACATGAAAGCACATGTTGTTACAACAACTGAAAACCCTCTTTTCTCACACTGTCTGGGGGTGTGATGTTTATAACTGTGTTTATCTGTTCACAGGCATTTCTTGCTGAGCATTTCTCATTAGCCCACCGTGATGATCCCTACGTAAGCCGGCGACTGATCTCCTCCAAAGTCTGTTCATCAGCTGCGACAGCTCGCATCAGGTTCTCATTGTATACCTGGATAATGGAACCCTATGGATCTCTATCTAGGCCAGCGTCTAACCATTCTGCCCACACTTTATTCTTCCCACGCAGACTCATAATTATCATCCATCCTGTTTGTTGGAAAGGCTGGGGTATTTTTGGTTCATCTCCTGTGGTGTGGATACTCTTTGACTCCTGTGTCGTTTTGATGATGGTAAGCACAAGGTGAGGTGTGTGCTTGTATACACATAGGTATGACTAACTAAGAATAAAACATCAGCGTTCCTCCTGGGTCCTCTCTTTATCATACCATGACAAACACACAAACAAATGAAACAATATTCATGTTATTTTTCTGCACTTCAGCTGCTCTGCTTGAGTTGATTCTTCTGAACCTCAGTTTCTCTGCAAATATCCCTGACTGATGCAGTCTCTTTGGTTTCCACACACCCTCCCAAAAAAATTTTTCTTTTGCAGTCCAGCAGTTGATCACTGCACACTGTGTTTGTGGTGTCTTCTATAGGTCAGTGTGCCATTTTTCAATTGCAACAGAAATAAAATCGTCAAACATTAACTCAATATTACCAAATACTGCTTTTCAGTGAAGACATGCACATGTGAGTCTGTTAAAAGAATGCTGCAGTGTATTGTGACACATGATTCATCCTCCGAACCTCTCAAACAAACACTGGTGAAGAGGAAGTTGCTCTGAGAACAACACAGATCTGTGGTTGTCATTCAGTCAAAAACAGCATTAAAAACAATCTCCATAGGTGAAGAAATGCTCAGCTCTGTCAAGACGGGCTCAAAAGACTTTATCATGGTAAGACAAGTGAGAGATAGGTTGAGATTGGGATAAAAGATTTTGTTTTTAACCTTGAAATCATATATGCATTTTACATTTTTGGCCTTTTACATTTAAGTGTTAACTTGACATGGAAGTAATAAATTGCAAAACACTAAAATGTAATTCAATGGAAGACTTAGTTTTGGTTAAAAAAATAATTAAATAAGTAAGTAACATGTAAATTATGTTTAAGACTTACGGGAATTAGTTAAAATTCCTCACTATGTTAGGCATAGCATCTTATTCAACACTTAAAACAGTGTTAAATCGGTTTAGCACTCATGAAGAGTAGTATGAAGATAAGAATGAATTAATTCTGATTACCGTTTGACCTAAAATGAAAATAACACCATGTTATGAATGACTTTGCTTCTCAGTGTAGTGTCATGTAAAATATGAACTCTTAATAGAGTTGAAAATTAAATATGTTCAGTGTATATTTACACTCTGTAAATAAGGACCATATGTTCACGACTTGCTCTTAAAATTCCCAGGGTAGGATCCTTAGTTTTACTAAATAGACACAAGGAATTGTAGTTGTGGTTAAGTTTATTAACATAATCATGTTTTGAAAAACTTCGTAATGACCTCGTTCATAAGCAGTCTGCAGCCTGAGGACTTTAGTGAAAAACATTGATCCAGAAAGACGTGCCGGGCTTTGCAGGATCTGATGCTTTAGTCTCTGAGTGAAAAAGCAAATATTATAGATGCCACAAATCAGAGCGCTGACAGTAAACAACAGAGTTAATTAGCAAAGTGAATCAGGTCATCACACGTTCTTCACTTACATCAGTTAATGCAATTATAATCTTGGCAGCTGGTATTTCTTCTGTGCTGACTAAACAAAGGATATCATACAGATGGAATATAACACCCAACTTAATTATGAATAATATAAATAAAAGAAAATAGAATTATATAATTCTTAAGTCCTTGTGACTTATTACTATTTTTATTACTGTTTACATTAGAAACCTTTTTGGTTTATCACTCAAACACTGTTTGTGGACAGGCTGAAAGGGTCTAAATAGCTTTATATAGATTTACATAGCATAAGACAATAGCAAACTGCATACAGTAAAGAATCATTGCTGCCACAAATCAGCCAAAAGGGGTGACTCATAAAACAGTGAGTGTGAGTGAATCACCAGATATAACCGGGCATAATCGTCAGGCATAAGTATAACAAAGTACATATATACATATAGTGACAGCTTCATTAATAACAAGAACAATCCATTTCTACATAAGACGACAGGGTATGATTAAACATAACAAGTGAGGAAATGGCTCTAATATCAGCAAGTACATTATTCTAATGGAGAAGATTATCTTATCTCATCTCATCTTATCGTTCATTGAACAGAACAGTGGATTCAAGTAAAACTGTTAAAAGCAGTTTCTTTGATTGAATGAACTTGCTGATGCATTGACATCATTTAAAATGCAGTACTGATTTCATCCATCTGACCTCGTCCAGCTGATCCAGGACCAGTACTTTGCATGTTGTTGCAATGCAGCTTCCGGCCACAAGTGGCAGCACTGAGAGTAAGGAGGCTGAAGCACGCTTAGAAAAAAGGGATAACGCAAAAAAAGAAAAAGAAAACGTCAAAGATGACGCTTCTCGGAGGAAGTAGTGTTTCTTCCGGCTTCTCCACCTGTGCAGCCTCCTGTTAGTGTTTCCTCTCCAGTTCAATGGCTGACATGTCCCGTTCTCCTCAGGTGAGTTTCCTGTGAATCATCTGAAGTCGACATGTGGAGATGACGTGGACACTAAACAAACCGTGTTGGGTTTGAACGTCACCTTGACGCCTCTTTGACATATTTACACAGTACATTATAGAAACAATCACAAACATGTTTAAAGTCTGGTGTTCGACACTTTTATCCATAAAAATGTAACATTTGACAAGATGTCATGAGAAGCTACTATTCAGAGCTGATGTAAAGTTATGTTAGTGGGTTTTAAGTGATGATGTCTTGTGTGAGCGTGTGTACCAAACTCTTACACCACTTTTCAAAATTTTAGGTGGAGTTAATGTGAATATTCCCAATGGGGAACTCATTTTCAGATTATTCCAACACCTCATGAATGGTCTAATGGGGTTTTAAAGTCAGCATGGGGAAGAAACACCGAGGCTGTTAATCAAATCCTTCGTATTTTCGCGTTTGAATGATGCCTCCCTCCAGTATTTTGCATTTTAACAGAGAGCAAACAAAAGGGATCAGGTGTGACAGACTTATAGATTATTTAAAATCATAGAAACATCTGTAATGGAACAAACCTTGTGAGAGAAAGACAGTTTGCAGGTGACAAAAGTGTCATTTGACGAGACATTAAGAGCTACAATTTAAAGCTGATTTTAAAATAATTGGATTATAAGTGATGATTTCAGTCACTCCCATACCAACATTTTTTACCAAAGAGTCTTTTTTCACATTCATGGCGCCTTTTGTGTGAACTTTCTCAGCATACCAGTTTTTTGGGATTATTCCGACACCACATGAGCTCAGAGTGAGAGCTAATTTTGGTTTGGTTTATATGTGATGACATCACACAAATGCACAATAATGGTGCTTTCATGTGCTGTTTGAATAATCGTAAAAAAAACGTTACTGACTGAATAAATTTCTATAACACTGCCTCATCTTGGAAAGTCAGTAAGAATCAAATATAAATGATTACCTGTGACTGTATTTGATATAACTGAGTGAAAATTCAGTGTGCTGAAAGTTCTTTTTTTAACAATTAAAATTTTCTTTAGGATACTTTGCTCAAATGCACCAAGATGATTTAAAGTTTGTCATATTTTTCCGATACTTTAATCACTTGTAGGGCTGAAACCATTTTCATTTAGGTTCAATCTGCAGACTATTGTTCTTAATGAAGTGATTTTTATCATTTGTTGAATAATTCCAGCTGTAATTAGAGAGTTATTTCAAGATAGGGAGATACTCTGAGTTTATATGACCCTAATAATGAATCAGTTTATCAAAGAGTCAAGAAGTATTTTATATATTTCTTGAGATGAGGTTGGTGCCTTGAGCTCCAACCCAGGAGCAAATTCACAGCACAGCTTCATGTTGCCTGTGAGTAAAATTGGATTCTGCCTCTCTGAGCAGCACGGAGACAAGACAACCACTAGAGGCTGCACAAGCAAAGACACTGATACGTAGATCAATAATGAGAGAGACAGAAAGCCGGAGGAATCTGTAGAGAAATGGCAGAAAAAGAGAGACAGAGAGAGAGAGAGAGAGAGGTGGTGAGACAAATGCAGTGCAGTTCAATAAGAAGGAGTAACAGAGTGAAGAGAAAGTAGGGTTGTGCATTGTGCTTCACCAGCTGACAGAGAGAGAGAGAGAAAGAGCGAGCGAGAGAGAGGAGGGAGAGCGAGAGAGAGAGAGAGGAGCAGCAGCAGCACTCAAACACGTTGCCCATCCTCATATTTCCCTCTGCAGCTGCGTGAGGCAGAGCGAGCAGTGGAGAGGAGACGGCACACCAGCGTCTCGTGGAAGCAGCGGGATCAGCGTACCACTTGCCTGAGAGATCGATGCAGTTTTGCCGAGCCACACAAGAAGGGTGAGTGGCCCCTGTGCACCGCCACACACAGAGAGAGAACCAGAGAGAGAGAAAAGCCAAAGGGACGGAAAGAAGATTACACCGAGGCCAATTTGAAAGCTCTCAGCTGTTCACTCAGAGCAGGTGAGTTAACTTGTGCTTGTGTGGAGGAGGAATGGCTGTTCGTCAGGTTCAGCCTGAGACGAGAGTGTATAGGTGTGTTTGTCCAGTTCCTTCACTCATGCACTGTTTTTGTAATTGTTTGAGCTGTAGTTTGTGCATCACCTCCTATGTGGTGTGAATTTCCAGTCATCTTTCCAGGTGACTAATTGGGGAAACCTCGGGATCAATCATGCTGTTATCACACTGAGCAGAGAGGGACGCAACAAAAGCCACTTAACAACCCCCTCCTGCTGGTTTGTGTGTTATATGTGCGGGTTTGCATGCGACGTGTGAGTGAGTGTGTGTGTGTGTGTGTGTGTG